TCATTTTAAAATGACTCTGTTATTTAAAAGTGCAAATCTCCTGTGTAGATGCTTATTAAAAAAGGCAATCTTTGCGGCTGTAAATGAGTTTTATTATCTGGACAGGAGTAAAAAAAAATGGCTTTTTAGATTGTAAGGGCAGTAAACCCCTGGGCTAGATGCTTCAGGAAAGCTGATACCTCTTTAGGGATCACATGTTGATCGACTTTCCCCTCTACTTCCTGAAGCCGAGCAGCTACGGGGGTCAGCTTGGCGGTCCTCACCGTCTCATTGAGAACCTGCTGGCAGTATCTTCCCAAAGAAGGAGAATTTCAGACTCATTATGCGTTTCTCTTAAACAGCACAAATAAGAAGGGCTAGGTGTTACCTGAGCTTAGGAATCTTGTCCAGGGTTACTGGGTCAGAACCTAAAACATCTTGTATCTCCTGGTAAAGCTTCTCCTGAGCTTCCTTGGATGTGGATAAAAAGTGCAGCGCCCAGATGCACACTGCAAAAACAGTGATTCTGCTTTTTTATTTTGGATTCGGATCACTCCGGTTAAAGGTAAATTTGTCACTTACGGTTAGCAGTGATGACGCATCCAGCCAGAGTGAAAACCATGCAGTCCTCCATGACCTAAACGGCAAAAAAAAGGGCTTGGAGTTATTATTTTTTTAATTCTTTTAAATCATCTTTCTTAGACTACCTGTCGCTCTGTGAGGCTGGACTGAAGAAGAACGTCCACAAACGCCGTCTGCTTTTTTTGGGCTCTCCTCTCCTTCACCACTGACAGCAGCAGAGATTCCATCTCTGAGAGAGCTGACCAGAAATAAAAACTAATTTAAAAGTTAAATTTGAAAAAAAAAGAAGAAATATACTGCAAATGTTTGGTAAAATCCAGCAAAGAGTTCCTGGAGGGCAATTTGTTCTAACAGGTCAAACAAATTGTCGAAACTCTACAATTTTTCCTTTCAGGTGATGCTACAGGTTCTCCTTTAGGCTTTGAAGATGAGCAAAGCAGTTAATGACTTGACCACTAGATGTCCCCAAATCCCTCCTTCATAAATATATGACCTCTTTGCTGCATTCAAATGCGAATTTTGTCCAAACGTACACATAGATGGATTACATTTTGTTATGTTTTGACATTTTGTACATAAAAATCACAGCTTTCTAACACTAATGACCTTTTGCAGGTTAAAGCTGGATGAATGCATCTGCACATGGAGATTTGATTAAAAAATACTTCCCTCAGGTAGCTCTGCAATATTTAGTATTTATTTTGACAAACTTGTATAACAGAAGGGGATAAACATAAGAGCTAGAGATCAACTAGGACCTACTGGTTGCTATGGTGATTCCCGCCTTTTTAGGGGTTTATTGGAGATATTTAAACTAATAATTAAAGAGCAGACACTGTTAAAAAAAAAAAAAAAACTGAATGTGAAATCATTGATTTTTTTTTCAAAGACCAGATCTTATTTTATCTATATTAAGAATTAAGAACCTACTTTTGAGTAATGCAAAACTGGAGCTTAAAGCGATCCACAACTAGTTGAACATGTGGGATTAAATATTTCTATTTTCCAATAAAAAAATAAAAAAATGCAGCTTGAGATAAATTGGAAACTTATCATAACTTCAAAATTATATATTCTTAGGATATATTTCACCAATGGAGGTCCCCATTTTGTTTGCGCAATGCATGCTGGGTAGATAATGCGGTTAGGTCTTACTGAACTGGATCCTACATAGTAAATAGAGGAAGGCTAACATTAACAGAGCTATTTTTTAATTGGATTACATTTGAATGGTGAAACTTTTAACAATGTCATACTGTGTGACTGCCTCAAAGTCTTCATGAAATATCTGTTGAAACGATGTGATCACCTCGTAATACACCGTGTGCTAAATAAGCTAGAGCTAATACTATTAGCAGAGGCTAACATTAAAAAAAAAATCTAATTATAAGACAATGAACAACTGGTTAAAGTGAAAGTAAAGCATCTTTCACTCATTTTAACACTTTTTTTCTGGATCCCGATGCTAACCGTAAACAGAAACTGTAGCTCTTTGTAGCATAGCTCTCTATCTGGGTTAGCATCTATTAGCGGGAGACGCCAACCCTCCCATCTTCCTCCATTTGGTCCTTATCTTCATTAACTTTTGTGAGTTCTACATTTTAACCAATTTCAAATTCAAAAGGTTAAATGTTCCAAATTGCGGTTTAAACTAGCACTACAGGACCTAGCGTACGTAATTTTACCGTGGATGCACGATAAACTTATTAAAACTTAGCATCTTACGGGATTTTTTTTTTTTTTTTGTGCATTGTTTTTACATTCAAAATAAATCATTCTCAAATAAGATCTATTGTTACAGCTAATCATGGATCCCTTTAAGCCAAAACTGAGTTACTTTTCCAAATGTTTGGAAAAGATGGTAGGAGGACTCACCCCTCTCATAATGTGCTTTTCTACTGGAGCTTTTCTCCAAGGATCCGTCCATGTAGCCCTTCCCAATTTCAGACCAGATCTGTGGCGATTAGAGAAAAAGGGGATTTAATGTTGATGCCTTAAAACAAAGAAAAGAAACAACAGTTAAATCCGTCACAATTCTAACCGCATCGTGGTTTTTGCGGAAGGAGATGATTTCAGCGTCGTCTTTGAAGCGCTCGCCCAGACCCAGCTGGGTGATGGTCTTCAGAGAGAGACCCAGCAGGTGGGCACAGAGAGGAATATGCTGGGCCTCTGGGAAAGACTTCCACTTTCCGACCAGCTCCTCCGCCACCTGGACAGAAAAGTATTTAAAGAAAATCCAGATTGGTGCGTCGTTTTTGAAGGAAAATTCATTTAATGTGATATTTTCACACCTTAAGCATGAAAGGAAAGTTGCTCTTCAGGCTGTTGTTGATGGCCGCCTCATAGAGTTTCTTTCTAACTACTGACTCGTTGGGCCCACCTTCCCTCCCCGGAGGGTATCCCAGCAGTGACTTCAACATGGTTTCAAACGAGTCCGCTATGAAAACAGAGAGAGAAATGAGAAAATCTCTGATAAACAAAAGAAACAAAAACGTTCAGCGGCAAGGACGACATCCTCACTGGTGTGATTGGGGTTGATGTGCTGCCGCAGCTGTTTGACGGAGCCCAGGCTGACCACCGGTCGCCCGCCGAACCAGAAGGATGCCACAGATCCAAACTCCTGATGGAGGTTGACGAGGAACTCATGCAGACTGCCTTTGTTGATGATGTCCTGCAAATTCCCATCCCTAAATAAGCAGTGAGACAACAAATGTCAACATCCTGAGCTATCTCTATAGTTATGCTGCTATAAGCTTAGATTTCTGGAGGACATAGGGACCCATGTTTCATCATTCTGCTTTATTCTATCTCATTCTGCAGAATCTGTTAGTTCAGTCTCTAACGTTCGGCTCTTTCTGCTTTTTCTCCTAGTAGCTTCATCTGGTCTGTTCCTGTTCGGCTGTGACTCCATCCTGGAGAGAAATATCAGCTGTGCTGCTTCCATCAACATCTTTGTATAGAGATGTTGAAGATTAGCCTGTTTTTCCAGTGTGGTCCTGTTTCTCTGACTGTGACTGGCTGGATGTGCTCTCTTCATCCTCTGACATGGGAGCTGGCTCGGAGCTCGTCTGCCTGGCTGTGTGTTTCCTGGACGGGGCCGCCTTTTACAGCTGCTTTTAACATCTCTGCTTCTGTCTCCTTGAACCCCAGTCGGCCTCTGCAGATGGCCGCTCACACTGAGCCTGGTTCTGCTGGAGGTTTCTTCCTGTTAAAAGGGAGTTTTTCCTCTCCACTATCGCCACAAGCATGCTTAAGCATCCCAGTCAATGAGTCAATGCAATCAACCGGTTTTTCTTAGATAGAAAACTCTGAATCAATTTGACTGTATGATCTGGTGAACTGTAAAGTGCCTTGAGATGACATGTGTTGTGAATTGGCACTATAGAAATAAACTAAATTGAACAGCATCATCACAAGCATTGGTGGCTCAATAAAAGCATCTAAATGAACAATTTTGGTAAATATTTAAGACTAATCTAAGCAGCTATGTATTACTTCTTAATTCTTTTTAGTATAAATATTATAAAAAGCCATTTATCAAAAAGAAAAAGACAAGAAAATACAGTTAAAGTATGCAGATGTGTTAAAATATCTAAATATCACACAGAATACCCACAGAAATAAAGTGCTATAATAAATCATATTATATAAACAAAATACAATTTTAAAAAGTGGTATATCAAATTAATAATAAAATGAAATAAATAGGGTTAAATATGATAACTTACTTTTCATCTGTGGGGTAGAGGCCAGGGATACCAGAGGCCCTCCTGGAAGACTGCAAACAAGCATCAACTCCAGTTAATAGGCGATTCCCATTTAAATGTCGTTATTTTTAGCCATTTAAAAGGTAGAGCAAGCATTTTAAGGACAGTTATTTGATTATGCAAAAGATATTCGCTCTTGCTAAAAATCGGCAATGAAATTATACACTCTGAAGTTTTAAGTTTTTTTATTTTTTCCGCGTTTTAACAGGTCGGAGCAAATCTTAAATCCTTTAAACCGTTTTTTCCTAAACTTTACTTCCTGCCAGTTACATATAACAAATGCCGAACATTAGATCACATCTCTACATGTCTATATTTGTAAAAGTTTTATATATACTAGCTCATATGACTTCAATAATCAGTGATAGTTTTAAAATCGAATGTTTTTTGCCTGAAGTCTGACCTTAAGATAGCAGCCTGCTAATGCTAAGTAACTTTGAGCTATGACGGACTTACCGGGTACAAATAAAGAACAGCACCGACCAAAATGACGACAAACGTGACAGCGAAAATGGCAAAGTCCAACATGACTGCTTTCGTTTGTGCTTTTTCGTTTTTATTTGATAGTTTTCATCCTAATGTTGACAAGTTACCACGTCAACATTTTTTATCTGTGTGCGACTACACCACCTGGGCAGACAAAGCACAGCAGACAAAAGCAATCGATCGACGTCTTGTGTGCATTCCAGGACAATTTTTTCAATCCCTGACAGTTACATTACATTTGATTTCTTATTAATGATTAAATATGTGAAAAATAATCATTGATTTATATGAATATCGAAATTGTAAAGAGGCACTAAAGTTTATTTAGTTTATTTATATAGCGCCAATTCACAACACGTCATCTCAAGGCGTTTAACATTCACCAGATCATCCAGTGAAATTGATTCAGTTTTTTATCTAAGCAAAACCAGTTGATTGCATCTACTCATAATCCTGAAGGCAATTCCTCACACTAAGCATGCTTGTAGCGACAGTGGAGAGGAAAAACTCCCTTTGAACAGGAAGAAACCTCCAGCAGAACCAGAATCAGTGTGAGCGGCCATCTGCTGAGGCCAACGGGTTCAAGGAAACAGAAGCAGATATGGAGAAAGATGCAGAGATACAAAAGCAACTGCAAAACCAACTCCAAATGCTTCCCCTGTCCAGGAAACACACAGCCAGGCAGACGAGTTCAGAGCCAGCTCCCCTGTCAGAGGATGAAGAGAGCACATCCAGCCAGTCACAGTCAGAGAAACAGGACTACACTGAAAAACAGACCGATCTCCAACATCTATAAACAAAGGTGTTGATGGCAGCAGCACAGCTGATATTTTTCTCCAGGATGGAGTCACAGCCAAACAGGAACAGACCAGATCAAGCTACTATGAGAAAAAGCAGAAAAAGCATAGTGTTCAAGATTGAACTAACAAATTCAGCAGAATGGGAGAGATGCATGAAGTAGAATAATGAAAAAGGGGTCCCTATGTCCTCCAGCTGTCTAAGCCTCTAGCAACATAACTATAGAGATGCACAGGATAAGGTTTTAAACTAAAACTGGTAGTTGGTTCCACAGGAAAGTAGCCTGACAACTAAAAGATCTGCCTCACATTCTATTTTTAGAAATTTAAGGAACCACTTATCATCAGCATAACAGTGGAAATTAAACACATGCTGTCTAATAACTCTACTGATTTGAAGCATATATAGTAAAGAGAATTGGTTCTAGCGCTGAATCCTGTGGTACTCCACAGGTAACCCTTGAGCATGAGGAATGGTAATATGTAACAGTTGGTGTTATTCTTTTCTATTTGAGTTGCCCTTTTCCTTTGAGTTATTTACTCTCACAAAACAGTTTCTATGCACACATGCCTCAGGCAACATCCCAGAATAAAAGAATACAAACATACCATCTCATTGCAGCTTGTATTTCTGCTCTTCCTCACATTAGTTCTTCAGAGGCCTTCACTTCTATGTAGCACTGCTTTGCTATGATGTCTTTAACTACCTAAAATATATGTATTTTTTCCATAATAAGTATTTTAAAATCAAACAATTTTTTGAAAAAAACCTGCAGGCTTAATCCACACTTTATTACACAGCTATGCTCTAATTGTTGGTTTATTTGCTTCTTTAAATCTTTTCACTCTTTTATTTGGAAGGTAATTGGATTTCTAATGGAGCTTGGCGCTGCGTTGATTTCTGATCAGATTGAAGGATGATGCATTGTTGGATTACTTTAAACTCTTTATTTTAAGAAACAAACATTTGAAAAATAATCTCTAAAATAATCACAGACGTCAACAAAGCTGCAGCTGGAGATTTACAGGAGCTCAGGCAGTAATTTCTGATTTGTCGTCTGGCTTCGGAGGCTCAACCTCCATTGTCCTCAGATAACCTATAGAAGGCAGAAATATGATATAATCAACATGTTAAAGGCAGATTGTACTGGATGTGGAATGGTTAGTCACCTTCAGTGTAGTCCGTCTCGGGTCTGGTGGAGATGAAGATCCACGCCAAGCCCACCAGCAGAGCCACCACCAGGTTGATGGTCACCCACGGGTGGAGGAGCTGGTGCTCCGATCCTGGAGGCCTACAGCGGGAACAGATTACAATTGAGAAACTTAATCCTGGCGTCAGAGTTTTGTCTCAGAACATCAGGATAATCGCAGTCAGCTCACCATAAGGTCATGTTGGAGGATGCGTAGAGGTTGATGCGATCGCTGGTCATCTGCTGGCTCAGAGAGAGGACCAACGCTGAGAAATACACTGCAAGGAATGAAAGAGGGAGTTTGGGATTAAAGCGAACAGAGAGGAATCAATCAGCTCTGAATGGATGATTCAGACTCACAGAAGGAGGCCAGAGCCACGGGATCCAGAGTGATGAACTCCCGCAGAGCCACGGGACCCTTAGCCAGATTTACCCTGAAAATACACAAATATTCTCAGTACACATAAAGAATGAATCAGACCAACCCTATAGTAATAAGCTAAAGGTTAACCAGTTTAACATCTTTATTGAGTTTATTTGGTCTTTATCTCTTTAGTCGACATTAAGACCAGAAATATCTGGACGGTAACACAATCGTGTTTTCCAGTAGACTCTGGTTGTCACCACATTGGATTTTATGGTTTATATAGTTGCAGTAACAACTGCCCTCTTACAACGGGCGGGACTGGGGCCCCTCACACCTCCTAACCAGCATTTTCTCCTGCAAAAGGAGCCTTATAAACCTTATACCTTAGTGTGTACCCTTTTTAAAGGGTAGGAGTGGAAAGAAAAAAGAGCACATAAAGCGCATCCTTATCACTGGATGCTCACGTTTTGATCCCTTCGCAATTAAAACTTGCAAGCTGAACTGTATGTAGTTCTAAAAACCTTTAAATTACCAAATGAGACAAAAACCCTGAATCTGATCTACAACAAGCCTAGCTAGCGCCTACTCCTTACTCCTTTTTTTGAGGTTCGGCTTTAAAGTCATAGGGAAGCGGCTGTTCCAACCGTTGCATTTGCAAATTCTCCCGAGTGGTGCTCGACTTTACACTAGTGAATAAAGTGAATGTGATTACTCGTTTATCTAAGGTGCGGGATTGTTGTGGCAGAAGGTTTGCAAGCAAGTTTGGTTGTGGCCGGTGTCTCGGAAGCATCTTGCTAACCATTTAGCAACTTAGTGCTAGTAGGTTCCCAATGGGAAATTACATTGGGGCCAAGTAGCACTTAGCAACGAAGACACAGACATCCCCGTGAACACTGGGACTGAACTCAATGGTAAAGTAAATAATGATTCTTATTTCTTATGTCAACCGTTGCGTATATTAGCTGCAACATATGATTTAAGATGTTATGACCGAAAAAATCTAATGACAGAAGACCATTGATATATGATTGGACGAATTTAGGTATACAAGCTGACGTATAACTAACTGGCCTGCATAAAATAACGAAATAAAACCCCAAAGATTTTAAGACAGGATTTTTTTTTAAATAGAAATTTTCTAACTTTTGGGACAATATCGTCTGATAAAGAGTACATTTATATACATGTTTAAACCAGAATAATTTGACATTTAAATATGACTTCCCTACGACTTTAATGAACAAAGGAAAATGTAGTTCAGGGGCTTCACCTGTCGAAGGAGGCCACGGTGCTGATGGCCAGCAGCATATAGAGCAGAGACTGGAAGGGGTACGCCAGGCCGTGGTACTGCTCCAGCAGGTTGGGCAGAGCGGTGAGGTGCTGCCCGGCTAGCATGTACACCACCACCACGTTCCAAACTGCGTACCCGGCCAGAAAGCCGTGGCAGTACAGACCAAACACCCTGAGCCACAGAAACCAGAGAAACTTTAAGAAAAGATTAAATTAATTTTTTTAAAGACAGTTTTCTTTTTTTGTTATTTCACCTGAAGCCTTCGTGCACTCGGACAGAAACGTCTCTAGATGTCCAAAGCTGCTGCATATGCTGGAGCTCGGTCATGCTATCCATCTGGTCGCTGGTCGTCTTCCAGTCAGAGCGCTCCGCAGCCTGGAATCGTTCTGAACATCAACATGGACAAATAAGCACCGAGAAGTTACACTAAAACCTCATATTTAACACCTGTTGACTACAACAAATGTTTCCTTCAGAATGTCCTTCCTGGATTTAGAAATCAGCAGATGTAGCTCAGTGGTAGAGTGCATGCTTTGCATGTATGAGGTCCTAGGGTCAATGTCCATTTAATCTGTAGTTTTTTTTTTTTGTTTCTTTGATTTGTTTCCAATAATAAGAATCCATCATTTAAATATTTATGGAATTTAAAATGTTTAATACCGTACATTTTGTTCAGCTTTTAAATACAGTTAAAATGTCCTAAAGGGGCTAAAATTCCTTCCTTAGCCAACTCGGTGAAATCCTTGTTCTACTGACTGTTTCTCTCTACGAACAGCTTCCCGACCGGCTGGCTCTGGCCCTGCGGGGCCGAGAACAGAGACTGCTGGGGGATCGGCGAAGACGTGTCATTGATGATGTCATCCTCTTCGACACAAAACTCCTCCGGAAGCTGTGATTCTCCAACCTTTGATTTCCTGAAGATGACAAACATCAGTCTTCCGCATTTTGTGGTTTTTACTCTAATTTTGTGTTTTTCTTTATTTTTTACTTAATTACTTTTTCTTTTTGGGTTTCCTAACAACTTCTTCTCCATCAGTGGTTTGATCTCCCGTATCTCCGTTGACCAGGTCTGCCTGGTTTTCTTCCAAATCTGAAATCCAGACACCTGAGTTGGAAAATGCTAGGAGAAATTTTCATGAAATAGGAAAGAAAAGCAGCATGTTTAGTTTTTTACCTGTAGGCACGGCTTTCTTCTTCTTCCGTCTCCTTTGTGTTGGAGCATCTGTTGCAGCTTCCAGAGTCAAATGATCACCGGCCTCAGACTCCCTCCGGCTGGAAAGCCCCCCCATTTCCATGTCCTGATCTGGGAAAATATAAATCTTAATGTAAGAAAAAAGGACTAATGTGTTTGGGCTACTAAAATAGCAAGTTGGCTACTAGTTTGACGTCAATGTCTTAGCATCGTAGGTGTCAAGTAACAAAATACAAATAATTCATTACCATACCTAATTGGACATTTTTGTCATTTTTACTTCTACTTCCTTACATTCGTTTGCAATTATCCCTACTTTCCAGTCTTTGCATTTTAAAAACAGACTTGTTAGTTTAGTTTCATTTAGGCCCATTTTCATTATGGCCTGTTGGTATTTAAAAAATGAAAACTATCAAAATAATTTGTTTCATCCACACAATTTAGACTCAGTGCTGCACCAACTTGTTCACCACATACCAACATAAATCATTTTTCATGATGATGCAAACTTAAATTTGATGCCTTTGCCATTAGTTATAAAACTTCAAAAATCAGGTATAAGGAAATTATTATCCAGAATTGTAGAAAAATGTTCCTTTAATAGGGTAGTGCAGTAACCAGTATATAGTTTAAAGCATCGTTCATTAACATTTTTTCCTGAATTACTTTTACTTTTATACTTTAGGTAGTTTTAAAAATGATATTTTATGCTTTTACTTGAGTAAAAAGCTTTAGTAGATACTCTAACGTCTACAAAAGTGTTTTAAACAGTAGGATTCATACATACTTTTGACACCTCTGCTTACCATCAATGTCCCCTGCTTCATTTCCATCCTTTTTTGGTTTCTTCTTTTTCCGTTTCGGGGCTGGAAAATCTGTGAACGCAATTCAGGTTTGAAAAAGAGAAAGAGAAGAAGAATGGCTAGAAAAGGAACTTCTGAAGACTCTGACCCACCTGCCGTGTCTTGGCTTAAAAAAAAAGAACAAATAAAAAGATAGATGTAGGGTTATTTTAATCAGAGGAGTTTTTTAAATGTAAAAAAAACAAACAAAAAAACACATTTCTTTTCCTACCTGGACATAGTAGGAAGTGCTCTTTGCCCTCGCTGAAGAAACAAGAAAGGAAGCATTAAATCTAATTGATCACAAGTAATTTAACTTAATTCAGCAGATTTATTACTCATTATAATTGAAACCTAAAAAAAAAAGTCCTAAAAGGATAGTCTGGATCCTTTCAAACTGGTTTGCTGATCAACTTTTGCAGCTACAGCTTTCATGGTTCATAAAATATAAAAAGCAGAGAAAATACCTCAACTCTCTTCTCTTGATTAAAGCAAATAGCTAAAGAACAACCTAGAAAGACCAAGACTCAACTCTGCTTCCGATGGAAGCTTCAAGAACACCAGTATCCACAGCTAGCAGTGGTTTACAGCTCACATTAATAAACAGGTAAGTATAGAAGATTCAAAATGAAGCTCTTTAACTCTCTAGTATTCAGCATAGCAGGGGCAGCATCATACTGTGGTTTGTAATGCCATGTTTAATAACTTTAGTTTTTAAGTAGTTTTTATTCAGTCGTTAACTTTTCAATGAATGTACTAAAGATATACAATACCTTCACCACTGTGGGACAATAAAGGAATATTCTATTCTATTGCTGTGATGCATTAAAGCTTAAAATGATACTAATACATTTTAAAGGCTGAGAAACTAACCAATTGAAATTAACTCAACATGCCTCTAGAGTGAAATGGTCAAATATCCAGCTAGCTTGTTGATGGTAACAAAGCATTATGCTAACCAATGTATGGAGTCTATCGCTCAACCTAACATCTGGAGGCTCATTTCCCGTCTGATTAATGCTAATAAGGTCACAAAAACTGGAAAAATAACCAAATAACTAAATTAGCTGGAAGCTGAATAATCTGTGCCCTGATGGAAACTTTTTAGCCAGTTGATTAGAGAAAACGTACAAATTTAAACCTTTGTGCAGATCAGTTTTTTTTTTTTTTATAATTATGTACATTATCAACCCACTAACAACCACTAACAAGAGATTTAGGACCATTTTGAGTGACTAAAATTTAATGGGGCTAAGGACTCTTCCCTGAGGTACACCGCAAATGAGCTGTTGAAAGGATTAACAGTAACTAATGAATAATTAAAATCAACAGCTTTCTATTTAAACACATGTAAAATCAGAAAAGTATTTATTTTTAGATATAGAGCTGACATAAACAGCAGGAAACTGGATTAAAATAAAACAGGATCAACACAACTAAGAAGCTGGGGTTTTAGAAGGTTTTAAACATTTACGAAGCAGTTTTGCCAGAAGCTTAGACTATTTAACAATGAATAGATGTTGTTTTTAGGTTTGATCACATTTCCAGCAGCTTTTTACCAAAAAAATATATATATTTAAAATTGTATTTTTTCAATTCTAATATTACTTTTTTCTCCAATATATTTGATTGAATTTTTTTAATACAACAAAAATTACAAACTTAACCTTGTAACATGTATTTATACACACATTCACTCATTCATTCATCATTCAAACCTGTACCTGTCTAGTTCCAAAAATATACAATGCCTTTAAGATTAAGGCAGAGACATAAAAAATATATATAATCTTAGAACACAGATTTTAACCTCTAATGGGACTTTTACTTTAAGCATTTCTGATAGACATCTAATAACATCCTTCCAAAACGTCTGGACTTTAGGACATTCCAACAAACAATGGAGAAGAGTTCCTTTTTCAGATAAACATTCAGTGCAAGTATCTGGAATATCACTGGACATATGACGAAGCTAAACTGGTGTTATATAGGTTCTCATAAGCCATTTATATTGCAGAATTTTAAATCTTTTTTGTGCTTTTAAACATGCCTGATTCCAGTCTTCTTCATCTGTCTTTGAAAGCGTCTCTTCTCCAAGCGTCTAACTTATCTATTGCTAAATCTTTAAAGAAAAGCATCAACAAGTTGTAGAACACTGATAGACACACTTCTTCCATTTTTCTTAAGGGTGGGATATCAACTATTTGTTTCAGTTTTAATGTCATATAGTTTATGATTTAACTTTTTAAATTAAGACCAACAAACTAACTGAGGCAATTTATCTGTTTAATATAAACACAGTTAGGTTTGCAGATGGTCAAAAACATTGTGTCTGTTAAGCCAGGCAAACAACGACCTCAACGACTCCCCGTTACAAAGGGGTGGACCTGTTTTTGGTTCAATTTGCATGTTTTCTAAGCCATAACATGGCTTTGTTGGGCTACTCTATAGAGCCTGAAACTCAACGCTAATCCAGACATTTTGAATTGAGAAAGCTGTCTGTATGGGAAGCGACTTTAAACTTGGAAAACAAAGTCCAGTGGTTTGTTTTTAACTTTTTGTATATAAACACATCAACATTCTTTTTTCTTTCCCAATTATAAATAAACTCAGATTCAATTACTTGTTAAGAATTCCATCTTCTAAGACAGAACAAACACATAAAGACTATTTTAATCCCAGATAGATCAGACTTAGATAGATCAGATTAGATGGCTAAGTTTGTTTCTTTTTGGTGAAGACTAAAGTCTAAACAAACAGCTGAGATGATAAAACCTTACCGTCGTCTTTCTGGCCATTTTAGTCAAGGATTCAGATCAGATGGAGTGAAGCCGCACACACAACATGCTGACAGATAAACCCTGAGCTAAATCGTTCAAGACGGAGGATTAGTTGGAACACAGGTCAAATGTCTAAGACCTTTTTATAAAAGACCTGGAGCGTCAAAAAGGGAGTGATTGTTGTTACGATAGAAACCTGAACTCTGGTGGTATTGGCCTGAATTTTACTCATCATTCCTGGTATATTTAGATAATATTGACTTTAAGAGTCTTTATTCTATTTAATTATTGTAATAGATTTTTTTGTAGCATTTTTTTTCTCAGGTTGTTATATGAAATTCAGATCCATTGAAAGCAGAAAGCAAAGTTCACTAATTTTGGACCATTATTTTGATAAAAAAACAAAAAAAACAAAAAAACAACGTAGTCATATAAGTTTAGTTATAAATGAGATCAATGAAAGACAAATTCCATAATTAGAATAATAAAATGTTTTTTCTTATAAATTAACTAAATAAAGAGGTTTTTATTGATGTGAAATGTTGATAAAATTTTGATTTTATGAATATTTTTACACATATTTATGAATGTAATTAAATTTTGGCACGTTGAAAAATTATGGACAAATTTTTTTACTTCAGGTTTTTTATCTCTAAGTTTAAATAAAAGATCACTTATAGAGATAATGGTGTCATGTTAGACTTAGACAGATTTATTTACCATTTTGTATACACAAGGGTAAACAAAAAGAAATTTCGTTAAGAACAGCTCTCTAGACAATTTCATTTTTTTAAAGTGCAGCCTTGAAAACAGTAAAAAATACATAAAAACAGTAATATAAACATATGGCTGTATATTTACAGTTCTAACGTTTAAGTTTTTTTAATAATAGAATATAATAGAATACAATAAAATAACCCATTTTACATAACATTCAGCAGTTTAATGGCAGTGGGGAAAATGTGTTATTAAATGTGTTTAATAAATGTGTTTATTTACTGAACTGTAACATCTCTGGCAATTTGTGAATAAAAGAACAAATAAATGTGAGTAAAAAAAATTAAGAAGAAAACAAAAAAAACAAAAAAAAGAAGCTTTTTCATAGATTTAAACTTTTGATATATATTTTTTAAGTTGTATACAGATTTTATTGCTCCTTGGCAAAAATTCACACAAAAAAAATCAAACTTAATCATAAATATTAGTATTAATTATTTAGCTGATATGTTTACGTAAAGCCGTTCTACATTCTCGTCCCTTTTTTGACTTACCAGCAGCGAGTCTGATATATTGGAAAAATTGCAAATCTTCTTTTGGAAAGTAAGCTTGTATGAGCGATGCAAACAGCAACTTTTAAACAAAGCGTGCACGAGGAGAAATGGTCTCTTGCACGCTCTCGCACGTGTTTAATCGGCGTCCCTTCTCAGAAGCGGGTACAAGGTTGTGCATGTGCATTTTTTTTTTATGTGGAGAGGACGGGTCTTTTAAAAGATTTGTAAAAAAATCCTCCACTATAACTTTAAGTTCTATTTTCTGTTGAGGCTAGCTGCACAGGAATCCCCTGTTTTTAAGCCAAAACTTGCTCTCCAAAAACCAGATACGGAAGCTATGACTCTATGCAGACTGCGTTCAGAATGTGTGGAACCTACAGACATATTCATGGCGTTTTCTGAGATACCAATTGGCACTGTCGAGCTGTGGGAAATCAATCTTAACACTAAAACACTAAACTTTTCATGCTTTTTGTGCTGCAAACACTTTAACTACAGCCACCATGTATGGAGAAAGATGGGTCTGCATATTTGAATATTGTTTTAATCCTTCTATACACATTTATAGCTACATAAACAAACTTCCCATGATAAATATAATACAGAAATACATAAATTATGAACCAATGACCATATTAACACAACTACTGAGCTGCAAATAAACATTTGAAAATAAAGCAAGTTTGATTTTAATACTAAAATAGACACTGATAAATCATATAACGAATTTCTGCACAAATGAATACATTTTATTAAATGCTCCCACAATGCTCTTTAAAGGTTTGTACTGCTATTAACGAGTAGCCATTCAGATATATGTCTAAAAACATACTGAGGAAACTTGATGTGTTTTAAAGATTATGGGAAGATACAGCAATGCGGATTAGATGGGATTGAACTGAGAATATTTAGCAGTACGGTGGATTTTAAATGCTACAGAATATGGGACATCAATTACAAAGGATTTGGGTCTTTTTTTTTTTTTTTTAGAAAAGAGGATTAATGCATGCTCTTTTGTTGGCTTCTGATTCAGCATTATTGAGTTCACTTGGTTTGTCCTTGTTCCTCTTTCTCAGAGTATTAGATTTTGTTATAATTTGAGCCATAAACGTGCTAGATTTGTTTCTTTTTTCTTTTTCTTTTTTTTTTAAAAGCTTTTCTTTTACG